ACGGCGCTTCAGGTGGAGCGGATGCGGCAGTCCCTGCCCTGCGCTCGGTGGGCGGCAGTCGCCCCACTGCACCCTTCGTGACGGCGCTCTGGAGGCTTTTGGTCACGGTGCTTCCTTCGACCGCCTGAGGAGCCGCGAATAAAAGGCTTCGTGTCTGAATTTGGCCGTGATGTGGAACTCGCTGGTGTAGCAAAACACGAGGAGAAAAAGTCTGGCGTGAGCTGCCTGCTCCGTATTTTATTAGTTGCTTAGTCATAGTTGCTTGAGGGAAGAGTGGAAGGTGGTTTATTGTTAATAAGACTCCCCTTTCCTGAAGGGGAGCGCGGCAGCTTTTAAAAGGTAATGTTTGTTATGAAAAGGCACTGCTGTATTTGAGACAGTTGTGCTCAAGTCATGTGCTTTTTAAAACATGTAGAGATTGTAGCATATTGAAAGACTCATTTATCTTTACCCGAGCACTTACTGAATTTTGGAAAAGAGCTGTGCAGAGCTTCTCAGCTCCCTTTCCTTATGTTACTTCTTATTTAGCCTTAATCATTGTACTGCCCAGGAGTATTAGGCAATGTGACTGATATTTGTCAGATCGGTCTTATCTTTCCACTGAGAGTTGTGAGGAAGATTGTTGTTGAAAAGTATCTTGCCCTAAAGATAGAAAATGGTGGGTTTTGTGATGTTTCTTAGTTGTCACTTACGAGGGCCCTTCCTATTGATGATCCTGAAACTAAACTAAAAGACTGTGACCTTGAATTTGTATCATGTCTTATAAGAAGCTAAACGGAGTATCAGAAGCAGATTTTAGGTACTTACAGTTACGTTATAGTGTTACTGAAAAGAAAAAAACCCTCTTCATTAATGTCCTTACAGCAAATAGTTATTCTGCAAACTACAGCATTGCCTGTCTGGGCAACTGTAATGCAATATAAAGCAGTTGTCATTTGGTGAAAGAAAGTCTCCTCAAGGCACCAATTGGAGGAAGTTTCTCTTTATATTTGCTCTCTGGGGGAGCATGAAGTCAGCAGGGCTGCAAAACCATTACTGTTCTTTTGCATATGCCCTTCCAGGTACAGCTTAGTGTTTTTTAAATTGTCCAGCACAAATGATCGCTTACATTATTTGATTAATCATTGCTGTAAAGAACAATAGCAGTAAGTTGTGGTCAACAGCCTGGTCCGGACATACAAGATCAAATGTGTGTCTGTCACCCATTCCTACCAAGTCATCCACTGGTGCTGTTGAAGTTGGTTCTGTGCTTGGTGTTCCCATGTGTCTGATATTTAGAAAACTTGTTTTTAGCTTGATAACTTTGGTTTGTTTCCTTACACAGCTGCTGCTTTTGTGGATCTATACCTGTGATAGCATTAAGTTGACTGGGTCAGGGACTAATACTCGTGTAGCCATGGTAACACTGAGTGCGTGGGAGCTGCAGTCCCCAACTGGAATCACAGGTTAATATTAAGGCACCTATCCTATACAGACCTCTGCATTTCCTCGGCTACACCATTACCAGCATCTGCATCAGCTAGTTTAAAACCAGTTAGTACATCTATGTGAGTTGTAGCCACAGCTGCAGTGTAGATGGATATTGATTTTTACTCTAGAATAGGAGGTTTTAACATGGTGAAGTTGTTTTAACAGCTGCTGGATTGATTGTACTGTAGTATATCTGACAAGGGCAAGATGCCTTCTATGAACAAAGTTGTAGCCTGGGTCAGGAACTTGGTGGGTTTGAAGCTTCTTACGAATTAAATGAATAGCACTTCATTATTTCCATTTGTCTTAAAATACGTAACTGGAGAAACAGTAATGGGTCCATATCCACCTTAGTAGTTACTCCTAAGAGTCTGACTGTATGCAGACTTCTCATTGAGATAATAAACGTAATAAGAAAATAATTCTTTTAAAAAGATAAAATCATATTGCTCATTCTTTGTGAATGTTATAAGCATTTATAGGAAGGGCTGAGTAGCTTCTGCAGTTTTACATGAGGATTTATTTGCTAAACTCTTGCAAGTATTGAACCATTTTTATTTGTCATGTTTCCTTTAAAAGCATTCTCTAGTCTGTGAATTTATTGTCTTATCCATAGGATTTTACTGTGGTACACTCATTTAAGGTGATTCGGAGGGAGAAAACTCTTGTGATAATGAGAATTGTCTTCAGTAACTGTAGCATACATGTTTGAAAGGCTCTTCGTGTATCTCTCCTGGAATTTCAGTGCAAGTTTGTGTTTTACATTCATCTGGCAGTTTGTATTTCACTATAACATTAATATGAGTTCTGTAAAATTTATTTTGAATAAAGTGACATGTGCTACTGCTGGTCTTTAGTTTCAGTGCAACTGTACTTTTCCTGCAATGTAAATGTAGATTCACTCTTTGGAAGAGGAGTGGTACATGTTTTGGTTTGAATAGTTCTTGTGAGATGAAGGTGTTTTAAAGTTGACATTGATACTTTTTTCTGTTTGTTTGTTTTTTTTTCTTTACAGAAAGTGGATCATTATTGCAGTTGATTTTTGATGGGAAATATGAGACAATATTTTCAAATTCTGTCATCCAGAATGTTTTCAGTACATCTTCTGTGACAGAGGAGAACATTGACGGTTACTTGGAGAAACAAATTCTAGCATACCTGGACTGCTCTGCAGAGGCTGATAACGTGGAAAGGTGGAAATGATTATTCATTATATGGAAGATTAATAGAGGTCATGTTTGATTTTTAAAAAAGGCATTTTTTTTATTTTGTACCATGTGACAGGGCCTGCAAAATTCTTATTCTGAGAGAAACAGAAACCAGATTTCTCAGGTTGTTTCCCCACTCTCCTGGGGCATCTGTTCATTATTGTTTCTTTCCCTGGATAGTATTGTGATACAAGGGTTTGCTGAAAACATTAGCTGTACCTACAGTGATTACTTCTGAAGCTGCTGGTATAAAGAAGCCAACAAATGTAAATTCATGTTGCCATGTATCTTACAGTTTATTAACAGATTTTCTCTCTGAAATGTTGCATTACATTTATGCGACTACTTGAAGTACTTATAATTTAAGCAATGCCTGTATTTCTAAAACTGATTCATGGTAAGATTGTTCTGCTCTTCTTAATGTAAAATGAGTAAGGTATTACTCGTGGATGCTATTCATAGATTAATTATTTTCTTCACAAGATTTTTCACTGATAGATCCTCTCTAATTGTACTGCATATGCTAATTCTTGCTGTTAATGAGTCTGACTTTAGTGTTTACAGTTTGCTATATAAATAATGAACACTGAAATCTATCACACTAGGAATAGTGGAAGCAGAAAGGTATATGTATGTGTATATATATTTGCCTTATTTTAAAAAGTGAGAGTGGGGAAATGTGCTGCAAGAAAAGCAAAAGATAAGAGAAGCTTAAGGTAAAAAGAAAGTAAGAGGAAGGTAATGTATTGCCAATAAATGTGAATGAGTACAAATGCATTGCTTTGGTATGACAGACATAAACCCAAGAGTTTTTGCTAAAACACCAGAGACAAATAGTTGACACCTCTAAAACATTGAGCTGAGATTTGTTAGGGATCATAGTGTGTCAAAAGCTTATCTTCTAGTGTGGTACACAATACGATGTGCTCCTGTCTTCCAAGTTGAAATGTTCAGATGTTGTTCCTTTGCATTTTGTCTCTAGGCGGGACCTTTTTCCTTTCTTTGCTGTGCTGTTGTTTTTAAATGTTAGCTGAAGTTTAGATGGTGACATAATCTAGAGAAATTTTTCAATATTGCTAGATTCTCTTATCTTAATAGTTTATTCTGAATAATGCAGCAAGGAAGGAAAGATAGATCAGGACTTGAAACAGACCAAATCCTGATCTTAATCATTCCTTGAAATACGTGTTGCTGCCTTTATGAACAATTTAGCTTCTTAAAGATAATCCTAATCTATATCATGCATTTGGTAATAGTTTATACATATCCTGTTATGTTGATGTATCCTCTTCTGTTCCCCATGTGAGCTTTTATTGGCCTATGTGCCATTTATGGAACTCTGTTCCTGCTTCCTACTGTAGACAGCAAAGCAGTGTGTTCCTCAAGTGATCATACTCCAGTCCTTTGGTCTTCAAGGTTTTTCTTTATCCCTCTGCAATTCCAGGCAGCATTAGAAGCCCTCTCCCCAGAAGACATGGAGGCAGATCTGCAATATTTAGCCTTTCAGAAGCAGACAGAGGGTTTTCTGCCCAAAATTATAGCCTGGAGTTTTATTCAAAATGAAAACGTGTGGCCTTCAAAATGGGTCAGTGTCTGCCAGAAACACTTTTTGTTTGTAGCAGTCAAGTGCATTTTTCAAGCTCCATTAGTAATAGTATAAGAAGCTTTGAATTATATTAGTGCTGAAAGAAGTAAATTGTGACTTTCTCTTGATAGAGAAACTTTTACTGAAAGATCACTTCCTATTTTAGGTAGGCACTACCTATAGCACTTAAATCCGTACCATGTTTGTTTGTCTCCAATTACTTTCTAGTTTATAGTGTTACATACTTATTCTTCCTGCCTGCAGGCCCTATGCCCTGTACCTTATGGAAGGTATTAATGCAGCTTTTGTACTCTGACCTCCCATTGCCTCTGGTGAAAATTTTGTTGTCTTTTTTTTTTTAATGGGTAGAATGTAATTTTCTTCTTCCACTGAGTGATTCAAAGGAATTGCAGCAAACCTATCAGCTCTAGCTCAAGAAATTCAGTAAGACACTGGTTTTCTTGTGACTTTTAGTAGATGGGGTAGGTTCAAATATATGTGGGTTTAGTTTTGTTGGTTTTTTTTCTCTGAATTGAAAGTTGCAATTCTGGGGATTAAAAAAACTCAATGGAAGTTGAATTCAGTCAGAAACAGGATGTTGGAAAATGTTAATTTTATTCTTTTAGCACAATAGAAACGAAGTACAAAGTGTGTTAAAAGAACTCTTTAGGAGTTCTTTTTTCTGAAGCTAAAACTGAGCAGCTTGAGGGCAAAACAGCTCAGAATTTGGATCTAGATTGTAATTTCTTTGGACATAGCCTGTAACTTTTTCCACTTTCAAGTCCATGGTTCTGCAAAGAAAACATTTAACAGTATTTTGAATTTTGCTGCAACTTTTTCTATCATTTTAACTGCTCCTTTCCCTCCTTCCCTTGCCCCAGATGTCTTTTCATTATAGCACTTTTAACCTTTATGGCCTAAAAATGATGCCTTAAAGCATTCCTTACAATAAAATTATTGAATAGTAGATTTTTTTAAACTTTTTTTTCCCCTACTGTTGCTGCTCACTTCAGTGGTTTACAGTTATCTTCTCCACAAAATGTGGCTTCATAGCTGTATTTTAAATCGGCAAATTGTAGAGGATGAAGCAACAGTGTATGTGTGCAGCACTTAGAGGGGGAATGCCTTTTTATTTTTTTCCTGAGGTGCATGGGAAGGAGGTGCATTCATTGCCTGACGTACAGTCTGATTCTAGAGACTGGGAGGAAATAGGGTGCAGGACACACCAAAAATTTAGAATATTTTCAAAGAGCTTGTTTCTAAAGAGCTTGAACTTCTCTTACTATGTTTGATTCCAAAACCTAAAGGAACAAGGAAATGAACACTATCACTTGTTTCTATTGACCATGTATTTACTGCTATTCAATGTATAAGCCAATACCAAAACAAATCCATACAATAAAGCTTGTTATGCTTCCCAGCCTGAACACTGAATGGTATTTCTCATATTTCTCTCTTGAGGCATCTGATGGTTGGTTAATTGCTGTACTATATATATTGAAAAACAAAACCAAAGAAATTCTTGCTGTTTCTTCAGTTTGCTTTGTTGTATATGAATTGGAAAAAAACTAAAATAACTATTCGGTACCTAGTTTTGCTTTGACTTCTTTTCTGTAATTTCTGGCTTCACAAAAAAGAACAGAAACGCTCCCAAAACCAAAACCTGTAACCTAATTGCATCTAAAGCATAGCCTGGATATTGAGTTTTTTCTCACTCTTCCTTTGTAAATTTTAGTGATATATGCAAATCCATTATTTTTTCAAATACAAATTCTCTATTATTCCTAATTTTGAATTTGAGCAAGATTAGGTATAGCAGTATGAATATAACAATGGAGTAAGCATCTGATATAAGGATATATAAGCATCTGATTTTACAGCATGGAGCACAATCCTACTAGACTTAGCATACAGTAATTGTTAATGGTTTGTGTTCTTGAGTTATTTGGAAGTTTAATTGTAATCTTAGATATGTATTCAAATAACATTTGCTGGTAGGTAGTTACTGGCTGAATAATGACAGCTTGTAAATGTTGTCTTGTTTGACAAGATCTCTTTATAGCAATCCTTGTTTTCTAACTCCTGAAGGTTCTGTTCATTTATTATTTATTTTTTTTTTAGTTGAATGTTCTCTACCCCTACTTCCTCATTGTTCTACATGTTTTGTCACATTCTTGCCCATCAGCCACTTGTTTGTGTGTGGCATGTCTATTTGACTTTGGTTTTTTTTAGGGGTTGGATAACATTTTATTCTTTTGTTTCAGCTTGGAGGACTCGTGCATCTTTAAGTCTCTCTTTTACAGGAGAAGAAAAACCCCAACAAACCACACACACACACACAGAAAACCCACAAACCAAACACAAAACCCAAACCTAGTTTATTCCAATTCAGTTATTCAATTCTTTAACATACAAATTTTTATATTAAAGCAGCACAATTAAAATGTTAACTTTTTGTAGGCAGGAGGCATGTTATAAATGTGACAGGGCCCTTGTTGGCACATGACTGATTGTAACACAATAAAGCTCTAAGTCATTAAGGAATCATAAAACAAACTAGAAGCTTGTGTGAATCTCCTAAAAGTCTACACCTATTAAATTGACCATTAAATTCTGAGGGATTGTGCTCTGTCTTCTGCAGACCACGTAGGTTATTTGTTACTGTAGGTGCATAAAGAAGCAATACCTTAATGATGTTAGGTGACCTTAGTGTTGTAAATAAGGAAAACTTTGCTATACTTAGCTTTAGGAATGAAACAAAGTCTCATAGTTCCATCTTTAAATAAAATATTATTATTTCAATTAAAAAGCATGAATGAATGAGAACATTTGCTGCCAAAGTATCTGAACCAACTTGGCAGTGATAGTTTTGAACTTTTTTGATGTTTATTTAATTGTTTTATTATCAGAGGGAGTGAAAATAAACAGCTGTGTCAAAACAAAATTAAACATGCTGTTTTGGAGCGTATGCTCATGCAACATCTTTTCTTTCAAAATGTTGAGGCTTAGCTGTATCATAAGAAAATACAACAACCGTACAATAGGCAAATATGGAGTAATCTGCGTCCTATGCTAATCTCCTTTTGATATCTGATAGTTATATACAGCCTTAAATTTTGAAGCATATCAACTAATTCTGCTTCCAAAATGTTTGTCATTATTTACAACCTTTATACACAAATATATTTCCAAGCCTTTTATGTTCCCCGTGTGCATTCTTGAATAGTACATTCATTGTATTTTCCTAAGAAGAGAGTGATTTAGTTAGTTAGTTTTAAAGGCTGAGGGTTTTGAATTAATGCAAGAATTAAACAGATCTTGTAGCCTTAATTAAAAATATAATATGTTGCTAATTGCTTTTCTTATCTATATTGCAGGCAGAGGCTGATGTTTCTGCTTGGTGTGGGCAGTTTGCAGCTCTTCGTTCAAAGCAATTGGACTGGGCCTCCTGTTCAGTTAAAGCTTCAGGACTTTTTGCCACCCACATTGTTACAGAAATTCTGTGAGGTATTGGTTTTTAATAAACTGTCCTTTTAATCATCACTGCTTTTCATAAATAACCATAACACACAGATGTGTCAGAGAAGGCAAGTCTGTGAGGCACATTGCTAGAATTAATAGCCTTGATCCTACTGGCTGCTCTTGCAAACATCTTCAGCTATATTGGTTTTAAAAGCGTGTCCTAAAAGTAGTTACTCTCTTTCTCTATGGAAGAGATTTCCTGCTGGAGGTGTTGGTTTTTGATAGGAAAGATATGTTTATTATATGGGAGCATTTACTCAAAAGATATTTGCAGTCAATAAACTTTATTTATTTATTTTGGAATGTGTTCTTAGCTGGATCAAAGAATGGTTATATACAGCATAGAGATTTTCCCTTATTAGGGTAAGGTAGAAGCTGCATATCTTCCAAATAGCAGAATATCTGGCAGATACTAAGAGAACAGTAGATTTGGATGCTCGGTATCCTGTTAGGCTCACAGATGATGCCAAGTGAATTGTAATAGTATTAGTACAAAAGTGCTAACTCAGATACTGAGGGCCATCAGTTTTATTTAATTTGGCATTTTTTAATGTAAACAACTAATGAACACTGTAACTGCTTTTTAATGAGATGCATATATTGTTTCTCATGGCAGTACCACAGTCCATCTCCTGACTCTACAGTACCTGTGGTTCAGCACAGCTTCTTGAGCATTAACTTTTCACTTGGAATTAAAACTATAGTAAAGCACTGATTACTGCAGCATGTTAGGGGTGAACATACCACTAGTCTCTGCTAAGGCTAAATCTATATGTAACTTTGAATTTAGAATTTCGCTGTGAAAAGGTATGGACCATGAGCAGTGTAGGTGCTGTGAACTCTGGAATGAGGAGTAGTTAGGGTATATGCTAAGTTTCACATAAAACTGATGGATCACAGCATGGTAAGGGTAGGAAGAGATCTCTGAAGATCATCTAGTCCAACCCCCTGCTAGAGCACGATCACCGAGAGAAGATCACACAGGAACACGTCCAGGTGGGTTTTGAATGTCTCCAGAGGAGACTCCACAGCTTCTCTGGGCAGCCTGGTCCAGTGCTCTGGTACCCTCACAGGAAAGAAGCTTTTCCTTATGTTCAAGTTGAACCTCTTGCATTCCAGTTTGTGACTGTTGCCCCTTGTCGTGTTACTGGGCACAACCAAGAGGAGTCTGGCCACGTCTTCCTGACACCCACCCTTTAGATATTTATAAGCATTAATGAGTTACCCCCTCAGTCTCCTCCAGGCTAAACAGACCCAGGTCTCAGCCTTTCCTTGTATGAGAGAGGCTCCAGTATATGCAGATCTGTGTTGTATTATTGTGGCACGCTTGTGGAAGAATTCCATAATTCATACAGTCCTGCCCTAGGATCATTTGCAAGGTTGTATTTCTAAATAACTAGTTCAGATTACAGTATCTCTCCCCTTTTTTTACATAAGCGTTTATCACTTCAGTCTGTCTTTTTGAGCTGACATGGAGTGTATATAGGCTTATTTTTTGCTAAGGTTTTTATACCAGAATTTCAAATGTCATCTTCTGATGACTGTTGTGGTTTAACCCAGCAAGCAGCTAAATGCTGCACAGCGCTCACTCACTCCCCCACTCCGTGGTTGGGTGGGGGAGAGAATTGGAGGGAAAAAGGTCAGAGGACTTGTAGGTTTTGATAAAAACAATTTTATGATTAAAATAAACCAAACGAAAATAACAACAACAGTAAGGAATTGTAATAAAAATAGGAACAGAGATAATAAATCAGTCAAAGTTTTATACTCAGCTCAGACAGTGCTTGCTGGCTGTGTGCCAGCGAGAACATGACAGTCAACAGCAAGTAAGCCTCAGGAACTGATGGATGGGCCTATGGGAATGGTGATTATTGAGGTTAAAAGAGCCATCCCCAGCAAACTCCCCAGTCTAGTGAGTGTGACATTTATGGTGTAGCATACTTTCTGTTGGCCAACTTACATCACCTGTCCAGGAAAGCCCTGGGCTTTTGCTCTGCCCCCCACCATCCTCTTGTGCAGAGGAAGTGTAAGTAAGTGTTGCTAGCAACAACCAAAACATCAGTGTGTTATATCATTTTATTCTTACTCTTATCATATTATTCTTACTCTGTATTCTTACTGTCACTAGCTACTCTGAGGAAAATTAACTGTTTAAAACTAGATGTAAGAGTCTTACCAACTTGTTTTCACTAAACCGAACACTGCAGTCCTCTGAAACGCAGCTCTGCTGAATACAGAATTAATTCTGTGTTTTTATCCCAGCAAAAACAGGTCAATGACTAAATAAGTACCAGTGGTAACTAAGTGTACTGTACCTTCTAGAGTGTGAATGAGTTAGCAGAAATTTTTAAGTATGCCCTTTCTGAAGGGAAAATGGGTTCAATTTGCCTTTTTATGTAATAAAAAAAAGAAATACAAACTAATTTCTTCCATTCTGCTTATAATTTGTTTATAATCTTTAAAATTATAGTATTAAAATATTTTTCTATTCTGTGGGTTCAATTTACTGAAGATCTCTTTATATTCTGTGTTAGTGTATATGCTCAGGCTGTGGTCTGACACAGAGGCTGCAGCCCCAGATGATAGTCATGGAATTGCTTTCACTCACAGTTCACAGACCTGTAAAACACAATGTTCTTAATTTCTATTAACCATCTCATTTACTGTCTGTCTTAATGGAAGAATGCTATACTAATTGCCTGTTGAGTAAGGGAATGCATGTCTCCTGTTTAGTTTCTGTGATGTTTCTGCTGTGGCTGTGAATGTAATGCATTGAAAGATGTTTGCTTACACAGAGGTGGTATTCCAGAAGCTAAATTGGCAAGAGATTATAAAGGAAAACAGACTTGAGCCTACCTAATTTTTAGTGAGTACTGCACCAGACTTTCATATTGCTGCAAGGTTTAGCTATTTATGCATTCAGGTAGAAGAAGTTTATTTATATTACCGCTATCTATATTATATTCTGAAACGTTAGTGGTATTTTTTTTCCAAAAGCACTAAACATTTATGTGCTAAAATATAATATCTAGTTATCTTCTTTTTTAAAATGTATTATTTCAAGAGCTTTTGTATGTTTTGAATTATCTTTATGTATTACTTTTTTTTCCCCCAAGGATTCTTAGTATATAAACACTGTAAAAATGAAGGTTTCGATAAACAGACATTTTGATGCTTCCAGTAATCCAGCTTTCCTCTCTTGCGTGCACAAATATTCAGAAAAAGTGGGTTAAAAATATAGCATTAACTTTCTCCATTCTATTGTAGTCTTCCATGTTCTGTCATCAAGACTGATACAATCGCTTTTTAAATAGAACTTCAATTTTTCAGGTTGTCAGACTAAAATGATCTTTTCCCACGTCAAGTTTAAAAAATTATGTCTTCATGTTTCTTTTACCCTGCTCTAAGTAACTTCACTAACTTTCAGCCCTACAATGACTCATTTATTTCAGGAATATTTTCAAAACTGTTATTTTCAGAACACTTTATTGGATTAGTCTAAACTTTATGTTTTCAGGCTGTCTCTTTTAGATGAGTTGCTTGTAAGGGCGCCTTAGATGTCTTCCATGAACAATATTCATGAGTATGCATACATTTTTTTTCTCATCCACCAAATTGATTCCAGTCTTCTCTGTAAATTACAGTTACATTCATATATTCTGTTAGAATTTCTTTTTATGTCCTGAAGAACTGGCTTGTGCTTTTTTCGTTTGAGTCCCCACATGAAAGTAGTTCAGTAATTTCTAAACAGAAAACCAGCTAGCATTTTAGTTATTAGGTGTCTTTCCGTTTTCTGAAATAACTTTGAGACTTTACCACATCAGTTAATATTCTGACTGGTACTACCCCGAGTTTTTAAATAAGTGCATTGTGTTAAAAGAAAACTTGAAAAATACTGGATTTCAGTTAAAATGGATTAGCAGTTCTGGCTTTGAACTTATTGGGATTAGGCTAAAACATTTTTAATGACCTAAGTGTTTATAATAAGTGGGGAATGTATGTAAGGGAATAAAAGGTACAGAACTGTTGAAATCGGAGCATATTTATTCTGCCTTAAATTTCAGAGTTTCTGCATGTTTGCTCATGCAGCTGAGTTTAATATTTTCAGTAGATGAACTGGACAAAACTGTGTCATAGGTCTAATTAAGACCATTGATGACTGTAAGAATGTTGTGAGGACAAGCTGCTTTAATTGTGTGTTGTGTGATTGGATAGTCACAAGTAGGATGTATTTGGTAATGGTAGGTAGCTCCATCTGGAAGAAGATCCCAATGTGTTAATTGATAATACATGTAAATAACTGGTAAGAACCCTCCAAGTATATGTATCAACAGCTCCTGCTGGCCTTTTCGTAATTTCTAGGTTGATCTCAAATACTGAGTTTTGGAATGCATTTGAATAATTCTTTTTCCTTATACTTGTATTACTGCTTCTTTTATGCATTATTTCATCATTTACCTGGAAGAGACTGAAATATTACCGCACTTCTATTGAAGTTGAATAGAGAAGCAGGTAAAAAACAAAACCAATTTTCTGTCCCCTGAAGTCTAGAGTAAAGAGTGAATTCTGTTCCAAAGGACCAAATCTTTGGCGGGTAACCTCAGTATGTCCTCTATTATTCTGTATCATCTTAGTTTTGCCAAATGAGAAACTGTTGTGCAGTAGTCCTTGTACTTTAAATCTGAGAAGCTGAGTATGTAAGGCTTAGTTAGCCATATACAGACAGATTCCTTATCTGATACTTTGTTTATTCTTACTCTCTTCCATTTCTTAATCAAGTCTTCCCAAGCCTTTAGTCTGGCTTTTTCTGCCTCTGTGTATATATGCGTTTACCTTTTAAGATTTAGGGGAAGACTGAGAAAGAGCTGATGAAACGTTGGGAAGGCCAGTTCAGAGCAGTTCCTGATACAAACGTAAAAGTACACCAAGTACTTGTTTGTCTCTAGTCACTATTGTTAGCAAGAAAAGAATCTGAAGCCTATAAACAAAAATTCTTATACTCTCTGAATGTGAATGGCAGAAGCTTTTTTCTGTTTATTATCATCATTACTCAGGTGGTAAGAGTTGTACTGGGAAATACTTCTGAAATGCTGGGGAAACTGAAATAGCCAAGAGTATCATCCAGCCTGCGGTTGATTTAGGGCTTCAGTAGTAGTTACTTCATAGTAGCCATTAAGTTACCATTTGGAAATGGAGTACATAACCAGCTGTGTTTCAGTGATTAAAATATATGTATTTAGAATTAATTGAGCTTCATTTGTCTGTATTTAGTCCAGAAGTGGTCAAACAGAACCAACTGCAGGTCCAACAGAAACTAGATGATTACCTTGGAGATTTCTCAGCGTATGTCCATAAAGTAATTGTCTTTATGTTTGTGCTTTAAGAAAATTACTCTAAGAAAATAAATCTGCAAGTTTGGTGAAGAATGGAAAGATTCAACCATCTCACCCAGGATTGTGGGCATTTTGAGATATGTAAAATATGTACAATTTTTTGAGTTATATGAGATAGGTTTAACAGTTTGAATGTTTTAAGTGTTTAAATGCAAGAAGACAAGCTCAAAATTTGTTTTTACTCTTAGCCAATGCTTTAGACACTTTCAAGGACTTTTCAGCTCCTGAAGCTGTAAAAGCTTGAATGTCTACCTCTTGTATGTAGCTGTTCTCTCATCTTAAAGACTGCCTTAGGACAGTAAATTCTGTTAAAGAGTTCTGCACTGATAGTCAGTCTTAGAGCAGAGGCTAGAAGAGTGAATGTTGGTTTAGGCTTTCTCAGCTAAAAGTCAAGGATGTCTGCTTTCTTGTACGGTCTTTGCTTCATGGAAGAGAACATGGATTTGTTAGAATAGAAAACAGCAGTTCTTTGACTCTGAGAGTTGTTGGCTGATTGTTAAGGCTGTGACATGTCATTATCTTTCCCTTCTCCCTCCCTCATTACATTCCTTGTAATGTTACATTAGCCGGACTGTGCTCTCCAATGAAAGGACTTGAAATGTGAATTTGAGATTCATTGGTTGCTACAGTGCTTAAACAGGTGTAGATTATTATAGCATAGCATGACTGTTTTAGAAAATGGTTCTGTAACAAAGCTTATAGCTTCTTTGCTTTCCCACTGCGTATTTTAACTGTGGTCTACTTTGATTACAGAAAAAGAAGGGAAGATGGGGAAAAAAGCTTATGTTAAACTGAAAATTGTATTAAGTGTCCTCTTACGTGTGTGTGTATCTTTTAAAAATGAATGCTTAGAAGTACTGAATGATGACTTTTCCTCTTAAAATTGGAGCAGAAATATTAGTCAGGCTGTTCCTTTCGGAAGCACTAGAGGTGAGAGGGATCTGATGTGCTTCCACTTGGCAGTTTTTTTCCTTTATTCTCAAGCAGTTTGCCACACTATTGTAAACTTTGTTTTCCAGGGTGGGATTGAAATGACTGCAGTGATATCATGCAAGAATTCCACTTTGAGTAAATAAAAGTCCTGAGTCATTGTCTATAATGTATAAGTATTTTCAATGTTAATGCAAGTTAAATAACTAATGAACCAAAGCAAATCAGACAAAAAGCCTGAAGTTTGCTGTTATTAAAAAGTGAACTGGGGGAATAATGTGGTTTAACAGCTTTTCTTCAGTGTAACCTGTTGGTAAAGGTATTGAAAAGTTTCAAATTACTTAAGTGTTACAGTATTTGTTTATTTTAAAAAGCTGAAATGTGATTCAAATAACTTCTATCCTGGTTGTGTAGACTGAATAAAGAATCTTTCTTAGGCAAGTGAATTCAATGCAAACTGTCATTTGTTTCTTTCCCTTCCATTCCTTTTTCTTGCCCCTTTCATATGAACTGAAAAAAAAGCCCTGCTTTTTTAGTTTGCAAAGGAAACTTGCCATATGAGAACCGGGAATAAACTGATGAACTGACCTCTCCCTGAGCCTGAAGATAAACTGCTTGAATGCTTTCATTGCACTAAAAGGGAGAGAAGAATAGGTGACTGTCAGATGACACTCACCACTAAGAGATTCTCTGGAGAGCTACCTCAAGCCCATTACGTAAAAGGATTACTGTAGGTAATGTCATACAGGAAGGCATCCAAAGCAGAGAGAGGATTTTATTCATTGGACAAAGGGAAGAATGACTCTAATATTGCTGCCCTAAGGCCACTCTTAACAGGATGTTCCCTCTGGGGAAAGAAGATAATTGACATCACTGGAGGAATGTCTAGTGTATTTGAATGCTGTAGGATTAATTTAATTAAGAAATTATTTCTGTGATTACAAATTGAATGGCATGGATTTACCAGAAGCTTTTCTCCTTAGATCATGGGAAGGATTATATTGCTGGAATGTGTCTGGGGATAGTGTTGACTGGACATAGGCATTTCAGGTGGGACGAAATCAGTCTTTCAGATCACATTGATATGGTTTGTCAGGATAGCAAGGAACAAGGCAGAATTCACCATCACTTGGTAAAAGGCTGAGACTCCAAGAGATGGTGATTCATTTGTTTTTTAATGTTTTGAGCAGACTTCCTTAAATACAGGAATATTTATTTTTCCTAAATCTCTATTACATTATTTGTTGATAAACTTATGTTTCCTGAAACTTACCTTTTTTTTTTGTCATTCTTCTTTCAGCCAAAAATGCTGCATGCAGCTGTTCTGAAGATGCTGGTTCTAGATGGTGAATCGGTTTATACCTTGACTTCTCATCCTATTTTGCTGCTTATAGCCAGGATAATCCTTGTGAATTCAAGACACAAACTTTCATCTCTTCAGGTAAGAAATATGTGACTAATGCTCATAACTGATAGCTACTCATAATTGGTTCTCTCTTTCTTTTCTTCATACCTCATTGAATCAGTATAACTTCCATTTTTTTTTCTCTAGCTCTGAGGTTTTTCTCTCTAAGAAACAGTTCACAGTGATTATAATTAAACACAAGTACATTTTTTTCTTAAAGATAAGCTATTTTTTCACTGTCTTCCCCAAAAGAGAATAAAGATGCCTTTATTACTTGGAAAAATTAGAGTATTTAATAGGAATCAACTTTTTAAAAGACACATATTTTCTGACATCATTTAAGGGTTTAGGAGGGAATGCCCTCTAAAGCAGCATACATATTTTATGTCCTTTCTAACAAGCTTTGGGATACTGTTAACCATTACTGTATGAATTTGAAGCCATGAGTTCTAGATGCCAAGGAAGTTCTGTCTTTTGTTTGTCATTGTCCTGTACCTCTTCTTGAGGCATCCATGTGGAGCTAACTTAATTCTCTGTTGTGCTTGTACGTTAGAAACAAGAAGCTATGATGAACCTCTTCTTGAGAAGGTTTTTGTCTCTACCTCTGCTGTAGTTTAGCAGCAGGCTGGTTGGTAGCAGGACTCTCTGGAACTGGGGGACTTTTAACAGCGGCAACTTCTCTTTATTGCGTTCCAGTTGTACAGAGATTGGCTGGAAATCAAAATGCCACATGGTCCCTCTTTATGCTTGGCTGACAACATCCATTCCCAGCTGGGTCTTTGTATGAGTGATGAATTAAACTGCGTGGGAGATGCTGGCTGTACTGCATTTCTGGAAGCCAAGCTCTTCCATCGTTTTCCCTGTTATTCACAGATGAGTGCTGTTGAATTTCAGCAATTGGGTCAGTCAGGGAGGCAGAAAATGTACCTGGTACAGAGAACTGAGTTGCTGCCTCCCCTCAGACAGACATAACGAGGAGTCTTCTACCCAGTGGAGGTTGAATTACTTGTGACTACATCAAGTTTGGATAGTAGTTCAAAGACAACAACTGGTAAAAACTACTGTCATCAATGAGTCAATGTAGCAATTAAACTTTGCCATTTTTTCTCATTTCAGCTTGATTTAAAGGAAGTCTCTTAATACTTTGCTTCTTTAACACTAGTGTTAATAAATACCCCAAAATATATTATCTAAAGCATTAATAAAGCCCTGTTTTATTAAAAAATGCTATTGTACATGAAAGATTAAATGATTCAAAATAATAAAAAATTCTTAACTTGGCTCCCAAAAAACTAACATTGCTGACAGAGTATTGTACAGGGCTCAGCTAGCTTACCTGAAACTTTGAGTATGTTCTCTTGGATTCTGACGTTTCTGAATGGCAAGCATCAGACCTCAGGAAACTTGTATCATTAAGCTGAGTACTCAATTGTGTGGGAAGATGAGTACTTCATTATATAAAGCCAAACTAAAGTAATTTGAAACTTCTTATTTAAATTGCCTTTATGTTTCTAAGTAAGTGATGAAATGTTGGGATGTGACATTTTTCACAAAATCTGTTGTGTGCTTTTTACTCTATTTAGCTTGATATCAAAAGTCATCTTTCATTGCTTTTTGAAATAGATGCTATTACTCTTTTTGATGGTTCCTTTCTAGGGATATTACAGTCAACTACTTGTGATTGGTTTAGATGTTTATGCTTGAATTCTGTACAGCCCTTAGGTCAGTCTGATGTAAGCATACCTGTATCAGAAGTTCAGAAGATAGGTGCCTCTCAGTAGCATTCAGAATCTGTTTAATAGAAAACGATTGGCGTGCTAACAGTAGCAGAATAACTAGTAATTTTTAGAGCTTGTATAGAGGTATGCACTACATTCACAGATTATAATATTAAGTATAATTTTGATAATAGAATATTAGTTTATCAGTCATCTTTTCCATGCATTTCTACCTGGTGCAGCTAAAGAGGGATAAGATATGCTGGGGAACTTGTTTTGTGTACGCAGCTTTATAAAATTCGGTATTTACTGAGCTGTGATTCAGCTCTGCTATAGAACGATTACTTCATTCTAAGGTATTTGCCCTTCTGAAATTCCACATACAAACATGAATACTTTCAATTGTGATTGTAAGGTCTTACCATGAGCAGTTCTGGTCCTCTTCTACCTCTCTCGGTCTTCTTTCTAACTCCACCTGAAGAAATCAAAAAAAAAGGTTAAAAAGACCAGGGAAAAATGCATAGGAGGGCAACACTGGGTAATCAGAAATACTGAATGGCTTTCATACAAAAAGTAACTAAATAGTCTTGGACTCTTCAGGCTGGAAAGATTACTGAAGTGTGAGATGGCTGTCAAAATCGCAAAAGTCACACAAAAGAAGATAAGTAGGAAACAGCTTTGTTTTTCTCTTTCTTTTTGTCTTTTTCTGTTACAAGAATTAGGAGGTATGAAATCAAAGTAGCAAGTGGCTGCTCCAGAAGAAGCACACACAAAGTATTTGTTATCCTCTCTTTGCAGAGTTTCTTACCAGATTGTGGTCCTAAAGATTTGCAGGGTTCAAAGAAGAGTTAGAGAAACTGAGAGTAAAAGCCTATCAAATGTTTAGAGCACTGTAGAGCTGCTTGAGTATGTTCATCTATATGCTAGGTTAGTGCTCACTTCTTATATAAACCAGCTATTTTGGTTTTATGTTTTTTTGAGAAATTAGAATCAAATTGATTATGAAATCTGTATTTTGAAGTCACTAACTTTTTTTTTTAAAAAAAAGGATCTATACTTGTTATTAACTTGAAATATACGTATTTTCTTTCAGACATTATCTTGGTGGACTCTAAGATGTGTGAATATTCACCAGCAGTTGTTAGAGGAGAGATCACCTGAGCTATTTACTCTTGCTCAGACCTGTATAAAACAAGGTACATTTCTGATTACTTGGATTATTGACCTACTGCATAAGTTGTAAGATATCACAAGGGAGAGGAATTTGTCTCACAGCATGATGGTTATCAAGTGCTTATGTAACTACAGAGAGTGGAGAAGGAACAGAACTCACTTAAATTGGCATGGACTTGTATGCCATGTGCTATTTTTTGGCCTCTAAGATGAAAATGGGAATATGTGATTGTAGGCAAAGGTTTTCTTTCTGTGTGCCTAGCACATATTACTTAATCACAAGCTCACTTGAAGCCATTCATAAAAACCCCTGTTTTATTTTTTCCTTATGTAAACATGATTTTTGTCCTTTGGAAAACCATCAGATTGGCATTGTACGTCTATAGAGTGTGAAAAGCAGGTAAAGATGGCAGATGTCCCAAATAATTTACTGAAATGTTCTTGTTTACTCTTTTTATAAAAAACAAAGCTTTTTATTAGAAAGGCAGATGTTTTATGGTCTTGTGGGCATTATTCTCTTTTTTTAAAAAATGAGAATCTGTTTAATGATAAATATGGACAAAAACATTAAAACCTGGATTGTTTCTTAATGAATAGTATGTATTACTTAAATGTGAGGTTAACATTCAGCTAACTCTCTCAGTTTTGAAGTAGTGTGTTTGAAATAGGCTTTGTGTTAAAAGTGCGGATTAAACTGCACAGGCTTTGTTTTTAAGTAGTTGTAGTCTCTTGAGGATTTTTTTTTTTAAGGATTAAGTTGTAACCTACTGCATTCACTATGCTACTGTGGTTGAAAACCATTGGAGTTAAATTATTTTTAAATTGCTAATTTTCTTTCATTAAACAAAATCTCTAAATTCAGACTTTGAAAAAAGTTAAGTTACTAGGCAGGATTTATCCATACAAATTGTTATTTACTGTGTTAGAAAAGGTATGTAAAAATATGTTCAAACTTAGCAGCTTTCTATGTTAATTGAAAGATTTTGAGGACTAATAAGTACTTAAACACAAGAAAAAACCCAAACAAAAAAACTGCTGAAGAGTCTTAAGCCATTCATTGCTCAGTCTGCTGGTGAAACTTTTGCATTTGAAGCCTGCTACTTAAGGAGAGCCTGCTACTTGAGGAGAGTTTTACCATGGTATCCTGTGTTCTGAGTTCCTATGCTCTTTAGCAGGTCCACGGCAGTTAGAATTGTTTATTTTCTGCAAAAGTAATATATCCCAATTCAACTCTGCTGTAGAATATAAGAGAAGGTGAAACATTTGCTTGTTCTAGATATAAAACTTGAAAAATGCTTTTAATGGTGTGTATCTGTTATACATTGACTGAATTTTTAAATATGTTGGAGGCATGAGGAACAGGTCTGCTTTAAGTATAGCAGACTTTCTCTCCTGGCATTTCAATTGTATTTTTAAAATATAATTCTCCTGGACTGCATCCTGATAGCTTTTCTTTTTCTTAATTTGCAGTGTCAGAAGCAGAAACTTTGTTCACAGGTGGTGAAAGCTGGCACTTAGCAGTTCAGTTCCACCTTGAGTGTGCCTATACATTTTTGTATTACTATGAGTACAAAAAAGCTAAACAGTGTTTCAATGCGGCTAAAGACATAACAAAACTGCAGATTAATCTTACAGGTAAGTTTTGCTTGTACAGTCTATGAGGATGGCTGGTTGGACCAAACTAACCTAAGGTTTGTTGAAGTTTTTTTTACATATTCAAGCAAAAAACAGCTATATTTTGAAAAATCTTTACTTTTAACAGCTAGCACTTACTTGTCTTCTAAGAATTAACATTGCTTGGAAAAGGGAAGAGAAATATACCATCTGGTTACAATATCATCCCTGATATGGCTGTGGTATTACGATCCTTTCTTCTCATTGTTTCATATCAAATTCCAGGTCTGGTTGTCTCTGTTACAGGACTCCTGAAACTAGTTAGTGTCACGATGAATAATTTTTTGTTGTTGTTTGTTTGGAGATGCTTATAAAGAAGTCTGCATGATTTGATGCAGTCTTTCACCTTTTATGCCACTAGCCTAGATCTACTCTGTAAATAGCATTTAAAAGTCACTTCTAGGACTATTATTATCACAGGAAATAAGTAAAAAAACCCTCAAATTTCTGATGAACAGAAGTATCAAGGATTCAATCACTATGGAGGCTTTTTATAATTATCATTTCAGAACCTATTCCTTGGAGTCAGGCAGATCAGACTGCTGCACTTGTAATTTCATTTAACATTACATGTATAGATATAGGACTAGCTGGCCCTGCTAGGTGATCAAAATGACATAAAATGCACATCTCTTCTGTGCAATAACTTTTGATTGTGCCTGAGAAGAAATGCAAAAAACTTCATATAATTTTTTATTTTTTGTAGACTTATTAGTGGAAAGGACTAAGGAAATGAAACTTGCAGCCTCCTTTTACACTACTGTATGTCCCTAGGCTAGCTGTTCCCTTATAGTTAGTTTGCAACTGCAGCAACCCCTGCTTATATCATGAATCAGTTTAATATTTTAATTTACAAAACTTACAAACAAAAAACCATCACAAACAACTTCTGTTATACTCCATGATCATTTTTTTAAAAGGTTTTAAAGGTTTACTTTGAAAAATCTGTATTGTAATATTGTGGCGTAATATTTTTTGCCTAACTATGAATTGATTATATTCATTGGTATTTGCTTAAAACATGGGAGTAATTTCCATGTATTTGTTTGAAGGAATTCCATGGTTTTCAGTTGATCCTACCCCTTTTTCCTATGTTCAACATGTACTGTACATGTGACATGTTCCGTGTGTGGGTTATACTGCAAACTTGATATTATAAGGCAGTTTTGTTTCAAATTAACCTGTTTTTTTCCTGGTTTTTTATTAGACATCAGTGCCTGTGATGATCCTCAAGCTATAAAAAATTAATTAAGAACAAGTAAAATCAAAGTGGCAGGTGGCTATTCACTGATATTCCTCAACTTACAGCTACACATTGGAGAGTTTTTTTTTCCCTTCAAAGGAGATACTTAGATTTTGGGTGAATAATTTCCTTAAATCTAACGTAGGAAAAACTCTTGTTTGGAGTGGGAAAAGAGTTTGAATGCAGTGGAATTATTTGTGTTTTTTATAACTTTACCAAGAGGATATGCTGGTCCCAGAGACTGTGTTGATAAAGTCTCTTGGAACAATGTTGGGAAACTCCTAAAAGTTCAGTGGTTTATCTCCATGAATCCATTTGGGTGGTTATGAAGGATGTCTAACCTGAAGGCAAATGAACTGAGCTTAACATGTGGGAATTGTTGGCATTCTAGAAAAAGTCATTTGACATGCATGTTTTGGCTAAATGGAAGGAATGTTACATCATCAAAAAAGACTTTGCTTTAATGTAAAAATTCAACCCCTAGTAAAGACATTTTTCAGGCTTTTGGAAAGAATTTCCTTTTTAGGAAAGGATTTTGAGAGGTTTTTGTTCTTTAATGCTTGTAATCCTTACTAGTTCACAGAATCACAGAACGTTAGGGATTGGAAGGGACCTCTAAAGATCATCTAGTCCAATCCCCCTGCCGGAGCAGGAACACCTAGATGAGGTTACACAGGAAGGTGTCCAGGTAGGTTTTGAATGTCTCCAGAGAAGGAGACTCCACAACCTCTCTGGGCAGCCTGTTCCAGTGCTCTGTTACCCTCACTGAGAAGAAGTTTCTTCTCAAATTTAAGTGGAACCTCCAGTTTGTGTCTGTTACCCCTTGTCTTACCATTGTTTGTCACCAAGAAGAGCCTGGCTCCATCCTCGTGACACTCACCTTTTATATATTTATAAACATGAATGAGGTCTCCCCTCAGTCTACTCTTCTGCAAACTAAAGAGACCCAGCTCCCTCAGCTTTTCCGCATAAGGGAGATGCTCCACTCCCTTAATCATTTATTTTAATAATTTTTTAATCAATCATAGTTGAACATTTTATTACAGCATGGACACTTACGCTATTCTTAAAGAGAGAATTTAGAACTGGTATTTTCCGGAGTAATTTTAGAAATGTGTGAATAAATCAATCATACTTGATTTGGCTTGTGTAATTTTAAAGTCCCATTAATCCAGGTCTGTGTTGTATTCATCATTTGTTAAAAAGCATCCTTATGTCCCTCATGACTCAATGAGTCACAACCATCAATAACTATGCAAAGCAATTTCCAGTAAAAGAGAAGTCTGTGGTTCTTCTTTCATATAAATTTACTAAAATGAAGGATGGCAATCCAAAATAAATTTAAGATCAACTGGTTTGGGGGATTAATAATGCTGAACTCTGCAATCTGCATGTTAGCTGCTTATTGTTTTCGTGCCCAGTAATGCATTTCTGGGAACTTTTAATGTGGAACAGAAAGTTAAAGTCTCTGTGTAGATTCCTTCTCTTTTGTGAGGATTTATGGAGGTATAAAGCAAACAAATTTCTCCCTCCTCATCTTTAACACGTAATACATATCTTTGAAATAAAAATGATTATGTTCTACACCTGTAATAGCAAGGAACTATTTGTTTAAAAAACAAGGTGGAGGGTGTGTGCATAAACAAATCACAGTTTCTGGGTCTTAGAAAGTAAACTTATTGGTAACCAGAATAACCTTACAAGTGTTTTATTCAGCAGTTTAAGCAGTAAGACATAATAGGATTCTCAAGCATTATTAAAACTGAGAATTGAGTGCTACTGTGTAAAATTAGTATGAATCGTTACCCCGTAGTTCTCTCTGTCTCTCTACTCTCTGCAATGTGTCTTGCAGTTTTAAGGTGATTATTTTTAGAACCTTTTTTGTTTCTTCATAAACTCTTAATGTGGGGCATGATTGCCAGAAAAGGAGAAATCAGTTTAGTGCCTGGTTTGCCAACTGCTCTCTTTCCACCTCCAGAAGAAAAGGGGATGGATGCTGTTTCAGTGCTGTGCCAGGTGATTCTCACTGACAGGGGCCTCACCCTCAGACCTTTGTCACATGAGCAGTCATCTTTACCTCAAAGATTTTGTCCTGCAAGCTTTTGAAAATTATAATTAAATTAGGAACTTGGTCTTCAGTGGTTCTGCAAAAGCAACAGTGGATCAGCAGTCAGTCCTCCATTTCTGTTATTTGAGTTTCACAGTTCACATTATCTTAGTTTTGTATCATAGTAATAATAAGCAAGCAAGCCTCCAAATTTTATAGAGTAATTTTTAGCTCTGTATTGGTTCTGGTTAGGATCCTGTTATTTTGTTACCATCCTTAAATTATTCAATGATTTGCAGCTTTCAAACAGGTTGCATAAGAGAGGAAGAACAGACATCTTTTTCTTTTCAATTTGGTATAAATGTCAATTGCTGCCCTAAAACCTAGTAAAAGTTGTCTGAGGGTCAAATAAAGAACTAAAGAAACAACACAGTAGAATTTCACATTCTGCATTCTCAATATTGATTAATCCAGTAGAGAACGTTCGTTGGTTTGCTGTTTTACTCTCTCCCATGTTACTTTTACAATATCTTCTATGCCATGTTAATGTAACATCTTGTCTGTGATCCTTCTTCATAGACTGAAGTCATCAAATGAAGATTTGAAATCTTTAAAATGGTGGCCTGTAAGATACTACAGGATTTTGATTTGCCTAAATATGTCCATGTCATCATTAACTTTCAGCAGGCAAATTGAACAGTTCTTTGTGGTTTATTGCTAGAGAATAAGTAGGGAACTGTTGAAACTTTGTGACAATGAGTTTTCAAGAGATGTTATGGGGAATGTACCTACAAATGGCTTTACGAGACCTATCTGTGTTTGTATATTTGTAATATGTATTTCTTTGTATGTCATAGCTAGCAGTGAGAACACATGTAGTTCACTGCAAAGAGATCAAACTGAATTTCAAAGGTTAATTCTCAATGTTTCTCTTTTATTTTGCTTTTTTGTGAACAACTTTCTAGTATGTGTTGGGATTCCTGATTTTTAGTGTTCATTAATGTAAACTTATATTAATTTTCTGTAGGTGCTTTGGGGAAGAGAACACGATTTCAGGAAAAATATGTTGCACAGCTTATTTTGGATGTCCAAAGAACAGATGAATTCATCCTTCCTCACAGTGAATTAAGTCCAGCTCCAACGCCTCTAGAAAACTTAACAGTGGTATGTATTTGAGAAGAATTGTTTTAAATTCTTCAAATGAAAATATTCTGAAGCTTTTCTTAGGTGTCTGCAAGGCAAAAGTGTGTGGTGCCTAGGAGAAACTGGCTTATGATTTCTGAAAGTTTTGGAAAAGATATGGCGCAGTCCTTTGCCTAATATTAAAGGACATGGTGTAAAGCCACATATAACTGACTGCAAGACAGTTGTGGCTGCTCAACTGAAAGCATGTTTGCAAATATGATCTTCCACAGTTTATGTATTAATTTCTAGTGACTGAAGAGCTAGAAAAACAGGTGAGAGACAGATTTTCAAAATATCCTGGAAAGCCTCACAGAAATGCACAGATTCCTAAGGACTGACAGATGTGTTTAGTAACAGTGTGAAGATAGGAAATTTGTTTAGGTATTTCTACTGGCATGAATTATGAGACTTTGATCTACTGATCTTAAGGGTGATGACTTAAGTTATAAATTGAATATATAAATTATAATAATTGAGATTGGAAAGTCAAAGCTTTTCTCACAGATCAGCTTTCTTCAGAAAAACCAAGTGATCTGAAAGCATCCAGTTAAACTGATGATGTTTCTGTGAAAGGAAAACCTCAGGTTTGAGGTGATGCATAGGGATTCTTGATAAGAAACACTATTTTAAAATAGTTTGATTATTTTTAAAAAATTCAGGGCTGTTTTTATGTTTTGGGGGAACAAGGAATTTCTTTTCAAGTCTGGTAATGGAAGTCACACTTTAAAACTAGCATGCAGTTGCAGTACAATTCAGTTGATCAATACTCATAGTGAATTTAAAGCTATACAGGCTATATTTTAAAGATTATATAGACCAGAAGCTGAAAATTTTAACAAATTGCCTTATAAATTATACTGTAATTTATTTTACATCTAATGAAGTGATATCATTATACTAGCATAGTGCTTTGTTCTAAAATAATTTTCATCTGGAAGTGGTAGTTAATCCTTACATATGCTAATGTAGTAAGAGAAGAAAATGATGGTATTAAATATGCCTTTAAGAGTGAGAACATCTTCATTATCCCCTTAAAATAAAAGAAAATAAACTTTTCTTCACATTCTCTGTCAAATCAGTTTATATAGTGATAAAATACTGGTGATGAATGCAAATAATCCACTTCAAAGCATTCCTGTTTGCTTTTTGTTCTTCTGTGGACTCTAATTTTGGCCTTGCCCATGGAAGATTTTCATTGGAAAAGCTATTACTAGGACATTGAAGGGAAATAAATAGGAAGTTCGAAAAACTATTAACATAAATCTATTTTCTCTTTTTAATAGATTATAAAAACTATTGCTTGTACAGTGATTGGTTTAAAGACTGGACTTTTTTGGTGGTGTTTAGTTTTTTGAGTTTTTTTCAGGGGAAGGAGCAATAGTGTTACAGCTACCTCCTTCTTGCTTGGAGCCATAGGAATCTTTTGTTGTTTCTAAACAAACACAAATTCTGTGAACATCATAGTTTACACTTTTCAGCCACATATTACATTATTCTTTAAGTTAAATGACAGACAATGAACTTCAGGTAGCATACTTGTTTGTAAAAGGTAAACTAAATATTCCTTAAATGATTTGTTTCAGAGGAAATTAGACTGGCAGGAGGCATGCTTTACTTGCAATTTGCTGATACTTAAAAAGAAATCCATACATTCCCAGAGGTCCATGGTTGCTAGCCTGAAAACCTGTGTGTTAGGAAAGCATTTAACATTATACAAACTGAAACAGATTATAGGTAATAGAGGAGGAAATTGTTGATAATACTGCGAGCAACAATTTGAAGAGGAAAATCCCCTTCAGCCCTTATTTAAGTAGAAAATCAATATTCAGGTGACTTTAAAGTTACTCTGACTGCTTTTCCTCCTGCATGATGACCATACTTGTAGCAAAAGTGGTTTGGATGCTGCTTTCTTCTACTGTCTTAGTTAGTTATCCTATCATAATTATGGTAAATTACTTTCCATTTTGTTGTTTTCTTATGTCTGTATTGTCCTTTTTCAAGCAATATTTTTTTCCATATTTTGAAGGCATCAATTTTTATGCAGCTATTCCTATCTAAGTATTTTTTTTCTCTTCCAACAGAATTATGATTTAAATGATGATACATTGCTTAATGAGATAAAATTAGCAGATGCTGATCAGTACAAGGTACCTGATTTGTGTGCCGAAGAGCTTGCTGTAATCCTTGGAATATGGTACGTGAGTTCACAGTTACTTTAAAAAAAATAAATACCACATGAATCGTTATGATAAGGAAATAATACAGAGTTGATGGAACTTTTTTTTCCCCTTATCCTATAGTCTGGCTAAAATGCTAAAAGATTTGACTTATACATGAATAGCATTTTCAGTTATCTCAGAGTGAACGTTAGTGTCCAGTTCAGAATTTCAGCAATGTTTCATTAATTGCTATATTGTTCTCTTATCCTGGAAAAGCTTCTTGTTCTTTGTGCCTCAGTTTAATCATGTATCAAATGTCAATTGATATTAGCTACCATCTGGTGATTACACTTCGGCACATTTTGAAGATGCATTTCAGAGTCTGCAATGGTCAGCTTCCTATGAGGATCAACCATGTCTTTCAAGCAAAACACTGCCCCGATAATCAGTGCTATGGGAATACTTGTATAAATCCAGAGCATCCGTTGCTAGTTACAAGCTATTGTACAAAGTCCATATGGTTTTGCACCTACGTTTTTAATTTTCCTGGCTTTCAGAGTTGATATGCTACATGGGTTTTGGAAATGGCACAGAAGAGCCAAAAGCACCTTGAGATTTGGGGATAACAAGCTGACTGCTAATGAATATCCTCACTTTCTAGTAGAGAAATACTTTTTATATTATGTGGTGTTCATTTAGCAGATGACAGTTAACACAGATTTTTTTGTGTGTGTGTGATTTGTTGAAGTAAAAATGATGAGTTGGATACAGTATTCATAATTCTTACTGGTAAGGACTTTTCTGATCTCTGAGTTGCAAAATGCTGGAATCTGCAGCACTGCCGAGATATCTTGCTGAAGGCAGAAGGCTGCCAGGAGCCAAAGAATGAGTGAATCCTAGTTCCCAAGTCTCAGACCAGTGTTTCTTCTGTAGGGGCACATAGGTGTTACAAGATTCAAATTTGTGATTAGGGTGACAGCTATAACAGGCCAGCAAAATGCTAGCAAGACAATTCAATGGCATAAGCAAACAACCCAGCATTTGGCTGTAGTTACTTTGTGGTGTGGGACTTTTTGCTTGCTTTGTAGCCCATGTTCTAATATTTCTAGTCACTCTCTCCCCACTTCCCAAAATTTTCAGTTATTTTTCCACTTCTTGTCCTATAAAGTACAGTGGAAGCCATTAGTAGGGAGAAGATTGTTTCCTTTCATTTACCCATTTCTCAGACGGCACCTTTTTGAAGGGCCAGACACTTGCTTGGCTCTGTAGTTGAAGTCAAATGTGAAGTTGCTTGTCTGTGCTTTCAGCTGTGCCCTTTAACCATACAGCCCATCCACTGTGATTGAGAATTCATGAGTAGGATATTGACTATGGCTCTGTATTTTCATTATTTCCCCAAGTCTTAAACTTGTTTTCTTTTCAAGGCCACATCTAGATCCAGTTTGAGGACAAAGGAGTCGAGTGAACAGTGGATTGAGATATATTCATGGCCCAGTCACTTTTAGTCTTTCACACTGACTCAAGTGAAGGCAAAGCCTTCCTCTTCCTGAGAAGCGTTTTCATACGCACTTCATTTTTTAACCCAGTGTTGTCTTAAATTCAGATTGTATCATCCCTTCTGCCTCCACCTTTTCAAAGGAAATGTTAATTTGCCAGTTGGTCTGTCTTTACCTTTTTTTGTGAGAGGGTAGAATTCAAATTTGACATCAGCTGGTTCCCCGGGAGGTTTCTTGACCACAGTATGTCACACTGAAACTACCACTGTCATGCTCTGAGTAGTGTCTAGAAACCATCTTGACTGCCAGCTCTGTATGTATATTATAATCCAAGTGGTACGTGAGTTTGACAGGACTCAAGGCAAGAAGCTCATTTAAGAAACTAAAAACAACGAACAAAAGTGTCACTTCTGCATATGACTGATAAATACCATTAAGTGGATGGGATAATCTTAAGCAACTGAAACTATTTCAGTCATAGAAGGAGACAAGCTTTGATTTGAGGGGATTTAGGATACGATCCATATGACTTGAGTGGAGTTTAGGCTTGGATGATTGTCCAAGTTAGGTAAGAGGGATCAATGTGCTTATTGAGATATTATATATGTTTCTTTTTCTGTTCTTATGATTGTAGTCATCTTTGTAGTTTATGGCAAGGTCATGCTATATAGCTTGTATCGAAAGTACAAGGCAATGGCAGGTAAACAACTGTTTTAAACTGTTTTTGTAAGAGAACATTCTCTCTTCGAAGCCATTGAGATGGAAAAGGTTATGTTAAACTGACTGTGGAAGGCCAGAGCTTATACATGTTGTCCTATGAAAGTAAAACTATGAAATAAAATCTTGGATGGCATTACAGATGATAAGGGTTTTTCTGTTAAGTAGAAAATTTTGGCCCATCTTTACAATCATATAATGTAAGTGTAATTTTTTTTTTGGTGGAAATAAACGAATTACAGGTGTCAGACAGTACAGTGCTCTTTTAATGGCTGTTTAAAGTCATTGCATCGCTGTGCACTGGTACATACAGATGTGTGAAGAGTTTCCACTGGGAAAATGAACTTCCTGTCTTGCTATTCAGAATACTCACATAAAAAACATCAGTCACCTGAAATACCTTTGTGAAACTTTGAAAACGCTTGTAAAGTGATCAGTCTTTTTTGTTCACAAAATTGACACAGCTGGTAAAACTGCATAGAAATACAGCAAACATTCATAAAAATGCTTTTGTGGAAAGTTGGCCTATCTATTCTTTATCATCTGTCTCATGTTTTACGTAGTTACCTGAGGAACTTGAATTTGCATTGTCTGCATTTGCAGAGAGGTAATGTGCCAGGAAACATAAGCAAACCAAAACTCAGCAGTTGTCTTCATCCATCCAACTTTATAGTCTGTCTTCAAGAGTGGCGGTGAGAAGATCACTAAGGGTGAATTATAAGAGGGCAAGCATGTGTTGCTCCCTTCTCCTTAATACTTTTCCAGCCTCTAAAGGGTGATTTCCTGAGCCTAATCTGGCTTGTTTGCATGACAGCCCTCAGTGGAGTTCTCAAATATTTGTTGTTTCCCATTGAGGCCACATAAATTTCTTACATAGGTAGCATCCTTTGGCAAAGGTGCCTGTCTACATATTTTGTGTCTGCTGTTCAAAAAAACCTCCTCCAAGTAGTTTTGGTTGTCAATAGCTTCATGTAGTGACTTAACTCTCTTATTTCCTAACAGTTCTGCAATGTTCCTCTTTAGTTAGTCTTAGCCTAATCAGACATTCTTTTTGTAGAAGTTATATTTTTATAACGCATAAAACACAATTCTTAATCATAAACCAATTGTTCTAGCTGTCTGTTTCTGAATTTTTTCTAGTAGTGAATTACTGCTTTTGAAATGATAGGTCCAGCACAGAACGTACTATTCATGGGTGGTCAAACAAAGGCTTTGTGTTATATTTCATGTAGTCTTTATGTTAATAAAGATATTTTATGTTAATCTATATACTTTATGTAGTATGCCTTAGTACATTATTATCCAATACTTTCCTAATCAACTACTCACATTTTGATTTGCCTTTTTAACAACCGTCTAGTACTGTGCTAATGTTTTCATGCAGCTGCGATGCTAAAGAGTTGCTCCTGAATAGAAATGGTCAGATAAGAACCTATCATTTTTTTGTGAAGTTAAGACTGTTTTTCCTATTGTGCATTGCTTGGCATTTTTATTTTATTACGCTTTTGTTCTATCCTGTAAGGTCTTTCTGCAGCTCCTTATTGTTTCTTCACAGAATCACAGAATCGCTCGGTT